GTACCGAAAAACTCATGGAGGATAGAATGGGTAGCCAAATGGAATTTCCACATGCAGAAGCAGCATGGTGTAGTGGTTAAGAGCGGCGGACTCTAATCTGGAGAACCAGGCTTGACTGCCCACTCCTCCACTAGCCAGCTGGGTGACCTTGGGTCAGTCACAGCTCTCTCAGAGCTCTCTCAGCCCCACCTACCCCACAGGGTGTCTGTTGTGGGGAAAGGAAGGGTAAGTGATCATAAGACACTCCGAGACTCCTTCGGGTAGTGAAGGGCAGGGTGTAAAACCTCTTCTTCTTCCTCCTCCTCTTCTCCTCCCTCCTCCTCCTCTCCCCTCCTCCCTCCTACTCTGAACACCAGCCGCTAGGGCCGAGCAACTGAGAAGACCCTCGCTGGCATGCCCTGCTTGTGACCTTCTTAAATGCCTTTGGCTGGCCACTGCTGGAAATGGGATACCTGAGGAGATGGACCTTTCCTATGACTGACCTAACAGGCCTGCTCTTCTCCACCAGATGTTCTAGGGCACACACAAGGTGTGTATGAGATCATGCCCGCTCAGCCACTCCCGTCATCATTTTGCAGAAGGGACATCTCCTTGGCAGTGCCTATGGACTGTGAGCACTAGGGCACCCCGACTGTGCACTGCAGACGTTGCAGAAACTGGATCTTGTGTGCACTGGAGGTCTACGCATGTAAGCCGCCGTGTCACACGAGAAGGACTGGAGCCACATGGAAGAACCACGCCCCCCCCATGTACCCCCCTCCCCATGTACCCTAGAACATCTGCACAGAAGCAATAGAGGAGCCTTTCTGAAACGCTGCAGAAAGCAAAAAGTAACTTCCAGCTTAATAAAGCAAAGCCACCATTCACTGTTAAGAGGACAAACAGTACCTTTGTTTTATTACTCCTTGTGATGGGGAAAAGGTTTTATTGTCTACTGAGGATCTGGCAAAATGAAAAGACTCCAACTTAACTGATTCATCAGGTGACCAATCAGCCACAGATCGACAGTCCTAACTTCACAGCAGGGCTTGACCAACGCGAATAGCCAATCTAATGAACCAACAGCAGGGTGACGTCACTGTCACTGCGGCGTTTCATAACAGTGCCAACCTCTGGAGCACAGACACACACACTCACAGCCCTGGGGGCTCGTCCATCTGGTACAAAGGAGACTGTGGAGAGATTTATCTTTCACCAACACGCCCCCCCCTCCCATGCAAGACTCCTTCTCTGCTTCAGGCTGCTTGTCACATTGCTAGATGCCAGCAAAGACAGCAAGGAAGGACGGGGTGCAGGGCCCGGGAACGGGGGGAAGCCCTTGGCTGCTAACTGCCAGGGTCATTCCCATGCTGGAGTCTGCCCCTGACCTTCCCTAGAGGAAAGCAGGGGGCAGTTTGTGGGTCTCAGGGCCCCGACCCACAATATGTGTGTTCTCTCTTTTTAAAAAAGAATTCTACTCCATTATGTAGCCTGCTCAAGCCTTCCAGGCAGCTCATAATGATATTTAAAACAACCATGATATGAATAAAATATAAACTGAGATGTAGCTAAAAACTCCTTAAACTGCTTTTTAAAAGAAAGGAGAATAAAGATAAGTCAGTTGCCGTTGCTGGAGCAAGACTTTCCTCACCTGCACAACAGACACTGTCCAATAAGCTTCACTGGGTAGGATGTCCCAGAGCGCAGGCCGGCCCCAGCACGGACAAAGCCCTGATTTTTGGGTCCTCAAAACTTAATCCTAGAAGTAGGAATTTTTCCAGCATTTGTCTCGAGAGAACAATGTTGATTTTGAGAATCTTAAAAACTATTACTAATGGAGATATATGTACTTGATAATTACTCTATTTAGTGATTGATTAGAAGAAAAATGTAATTATGCTTGTTTGACCTGTTGCTGTTTAGAACTCCTCCGTAGTATAGGGTGTTAACTGGATGGATTGCTTATTTAAAATATGTTATAGGTGTGTGCGGAGCTGCGGTGGCGCAAGTGGTTAAGATGCTGAACTGCAGGCTGTGGAAGGTCGGTAGTTCAGCAGTTCGAGACCCGAGGGTGCCGCATGACGGAGTGAGCTCCTGTCTCTAGTTCCAGCTCCTGCCAACCTAGCAGTTCGAAAGCAAGAAATTGCAAGTAGATAAATAGGTACCACTTTGGTGGGAAGGTAACGGCGTTCCGTGCGCCTTGGTGTTTAGTCATGCCGGCCACGTGACCACGGAAATGTCTTCGGACAGCGCTGGCTCTTTGGCTTTGAAACGGAGATGAGCACCGCAACCCTAGAGTCGGACTCGACTGGCTTTCGAGCAAGGGAAACCTTTACCTTTACCTTTATAGGTGTGTGCATTATAGTGAAAACCCAATAAAAATATATTTAAAAAAACTTAATCCTAGAGAAGGCTGGCAGATGAAGCCGTCTCAGGGATTGGCCTTGAGGGCGGGGTTCTGGCTAGAAATTAATTTGGCTGGGCTTTCTCAAAGGAACACTTTAAAATATTGTAGTCCTCCACAGGAGAGCTTTTGGGACTACTCCCATCAGAACACAAGACTGCTGGGACTGAAGAATCCAAGGCAATTCTTCAGAAAAGATCTCCCTGCAACTGCACTGGCAGGAATCTGGCCTACTGTCCAAAATTTCCTTCAGAAGCATCAGTGCATAAAACACACACACACACACACACATACACAAAGGACCTGCATATAAGAGGCAGAGCCAGAAACAAAGAGGAGAGGGAGGGTTGCCAGCAATCTTCCCTCTAAGCGCCACAGTGTTGTGAGCAGAAATTCTACCTCGTGAGTGAAAAGAGCTAGTAGCATTAAAGTTGTGAGCGACTCGACATTTGACTCTACATCTCGTAAATTAGGTTTTTTTAGAAGATTACTTCCATAACCTTGTAAAAATCTCTGAATAAACTCTTTTAAATTATATTTAAACTATATTTTAAGAATAATGTAAACATTATAAGAGAAAACAGAATCAAGTCAAATTTCACCCACCCCTTTCCACTATATTGGTAGATCTGTCCTCCAGAGACGCAAGGAAGCTTACAAATCATACTGAAAAGCATAATAGAGGTGTGCAAAAAAAAATAATTTCCCCCCAGCTCCATTGCACCCTGTAATAGTCAATGGACCCATAGGCTATAATGGAGAATCAATCTAGGGGTATCTGGGGGGGGGCTGTTTTTTTTTTTTGCAAATATATTTATTGTGTTTTTACCATTATAGACCTATGCTGTACATACAAACAAATTAGACAACAAGATTACACTAAAGTATTCCCAGGACATCATATTTTTTTCACAACAACACAGAAAAATTTACCCTTTACTTATCTTTTACACAAATTTACCCTTATCCTTACTCTTACATTCACATCTGCGTTGAAAAGTTCTTATTCTATCTTTAACACTTCTTATTGCTAATTCCCATCAGATCAATGATGTATGACCTTATTTTAGCTTCTTAAACAAATCTATTATCCTTATTCAATTCTACACCCTCCTAATGCATCTTGTTGGTTCCCTTATATACAGCACAGGGGCACCGTGTTACGCTAAGTTTTTTATATGGTTTTTCGTATTTTCATATTTACCCTTAAAATTAATTTAACAATTCATTAACATTTAATTATCACATTTCCCATTCATCTCTACAGCAATTTATTCACCATTATTCATGGACTACCACTCTTGTTCTACCAGCCTAACATTAATCTAACCTGCAACCTACAATTATTTATCCACCAACAATCTTCTCATACCACTCCGACCTTCTTATATCTCTCATCCCCAACCGGCTCGGGTTTTTTGGCATTTTTCTTCAGAGGTTTAATAGTTTTTTATTATTATGTCACTATTAATTCTTCAGACTTTTTAGATCTCTCTTCCAAAACTATAGGAGAACTTTATGTTCCTCTAAGACTGTTTATAATTCATTATCATTAATCCCCATCCTATTACACCCCAAATAAATAGTTTTCCCTTAAGCTCTACCATCTCATTCTTATTCTTGGGGGGGGGGCTGTTTTTTTGAGGTAGTGGCACCAAATTTGCAGCATAGTTGCTGGTGCCTCTCCTCGGACCTCTGTCCAAGTGTCAAAATAATTGGATCAGGGGGTCCAATTCTATGGGCCCCAGAAGGAGGTGCCCCCATCCATTGTTTTCAAAGAAGGGAAAATGCCTTGTGGGCTGAAACCAGTAATCCCTGCATTGGCTGTTACAATTTTGTGCACCAGCACCCCCTAGCACAGCTTAGAGGAAACTGGGGGGGTATCTAAGGGTGTTCACACTGGGGCTGTACTCTCTGAGACATGCTGAGGGAACAGCTGAACTATGGGTATGTGTCATAGTCACATGTACACATTGCATTTTAACATGCACCTAGAGACCATTTTTGGAGCTGCGGTGGCTCAAGTGGTTAAGACGCTGAACTGCAGGCTCTGGAAGGTTGGTAGTTCAGCAGTTCGAGACCCGAGTGTGCCGCATGACGGAGCGAGCTCCCGTCTCTAGTTCCAGCTCCTGCCAACCTAGCAGTTCGAAAGCAAGAAACTGCAAGTAGATAAATAGGTACCACTACGGTGGGAAGGTAACAGCGTTCTGTGCACCTTGGTGTTTAGTCATGCCGGCCACATGACCACGGAAATGTCTTCGGACAGCGCTGGCTCTTAGGCTTTGAAACGGAGATGAGCACCGCAACCCTAGAGTCGGATTCGACTGGCTTTCGAGCAAGGGAACCTTTACCTTTACTTAGAAACCATTTTGCACCTTAAAAACAAGATGCCCGGCATCTGGGCAAGACAGGACATGAGGCTTCCTCTAGAATAAAAGCCTCCCAGAGATCCGAATGCCAGTTTTGCAAGCTCCCTTCTTATAAAGGCACCCAGGCCAGGAGGCCAGTCTGACAGACACCGGATCACTCAGAAGCCTCCCACCATACCCAGGCATGCTCCTCTGTTCATCTCAGCCTGACCCAGGACACCCTGGTAGTTTGATTTCCCCACACTCACCGGCTCTCCCTCAGGATTCCAGATGTATCCATACGCAATGGTCTTGTTAATAGCGTGTCCAAAGTCGGCCCTCCGGATGTGTCCAATGACTTTGCCGTTTCTCCAGATGGCCTCCAGCCCAAACATGGGCACCTTTCTAAAGAACACAAGCAAAGCAAATATCCAATCTCATAGTATGGCAAAGAATGAATACCACTGCTTGCCATCCATCTCACGCGGTCAGATAAATAAGCTCTACTGCCCAGCAGACCAGACAGTGTTAGAAATTAAGTACTGTATTACACCAGCTTTTAATGGCTAAATGCTGTTGAATTCTAACTCTCATATCATTCCAAATATCACAGGACATCGAGTGCAGATATCAAACAGAAGTATAGTACCCAGATCATGCAAAGTGATGGTACTGATGGTACCACTTTACTCTGCTCTGGTTAGACCTCACCTAGAGTATTGTGTTCAGTTTTGAGCACCGCAATTTAAGAAGGATATAGACAAGCTGAAACATGTGGTGGCACAGTGGGTATATCCCACTGTCTTAACATCCGAACTGTGTTAGTTCGAGCCCCGTGCTGGTGTGAGCAGCCAGCCTGTTGTCCCCAGCTCATCGTCCACCCAGCGATTCGAAAGCTTCGGCGAGTAGATAAAATGGGAACCACTCCTTAGAGAGGGTGGGCACACCAATCTCCCTTGTGGGAGGGTGTTAGCTGACGGTCGGGACGTCCTGGTCAAGGTTCGGAAAAGGTGGAAGAACTTCTCGGCTACAAAAATCCCTGCAGTGGATGTTTCCGGCCAGGCGGTGGCAGTGTGGCGATTTGACATACAGGTCCTGAAGCCTGGCCGACAAGCAGCCATTCGGAAAATGACTGAGTCAAGCCAGATGATGTTTACACCGTGCAGTGACAGTGTGTGCAATTAAATGAATATATGTTGTCCTCCCTATCCCCTATGAACATTGTTAGTCCCCTGTCTAAAATGTGTAACTGTACACCGCTTTGAGCCCACTGGGGAAAGCGATTAATAAATTGAAAGTATTATTATTATTATTATGTCCTGAGAAGGGCAACGAAGATGGTGAGGGGTCTGGAGACCAAGTCCTATGAAGAAAGGCTGAAGGAGCTGGGTATGTTTAGCCTGGAGAGAGGACTGAGCGGTGATATGATAATCATCTTCAAGTACTGTCATATAGAGGATGATACGGAGTTGTTTTCTGTTGCCCCAGAAGGTCGGAGCAGAACCAATGGGATGAAATTAAATCAGAAGAGTTTTCGGCTAAACATTAGGAAGAACTTCCTGACCATGAGAGTGGTTCCTCAGGAGGATTCCTCAGGAGGTGGTGGACCCTCCTTCTTTGGAGGATTTCGAACCAAGGCTAGATGGCCATCTGACAGCAATGCTGATTCTGTGAACTTAGGCAGATCATGAGAGGGAGGGCAGGAAGGGTCGCCTCAGTGCTTAGTTCTCGTGGCCCTTTCTTACATGTCCAGGGAAATGCTGATTGCCACTTTGGGGTCAGGAAGCAAGTTTTCTCCAGGCCAGTTTGGCCAGGGATCCTGGAGGTTTTGTGTCATCTTCTGAACATGGAACAGTGGTCACTGCGGGTGTGGAGGGGGAACTATTTGCAAATTTCCTGCATTGTGCAGGTAGTTGGACTAGATGGCCCTGGAAGTCCCTTCCAACTCTATGATTCTATGACCCACCAGCCTGGTTTCTGCAGCTTGCTACTCACTCATCAACCGTGAAGCAGACCAGGCGGCGGAATATGCCAGCTGTTTTCTGAGCCTCTATGGCTTCCCGTCCGAGGAAAGGGATGTCAGTTTTCAGTTTGCACGTAAAGGTCAGGCCAGCTTCCAGGGGAGTGTCATCAGGCCGAAGGTCTGCATGCCAGTGTCTGTAGCCTGCCAAGAAATATACCTGTTGATAATGTCTGATCACAGCTTGCTAGGGAAACAGGAAAAGCAAGCAAGAGGTTGGGCCTGGGGAACAGTATTTTAATTTTTTTTGCTCCTCAAGCTTCCTGATAATAGAGAAAGAGCTCCAAGCAATAGGCTTTGGGCTCAAGATAAATTTCAACCTGCTTGAATTAACTTCACTAATTCTTACGCACATTTTCCATTCAGGATGGATGAGCTGTTGAGCAGTCACAACTTTGTGGGTTTACACAGCCCTACAAGCATCTTGGGTTTTGAGGAGCAAAAGATTAAGAAAAAAAAAAAAAAGAATTTGGGATACATCCCTCCAAGTTAACAGAGAACAGGCTCAAACCTCTCCAGCAGCAGGAAACCACGGCAAAAAAAATTTTTCCCAATGGAATACCTTTGGCACACCAGTTTGGTGTAGTGGTTAAGCGCGTGGAATTTGGGATACATCCCTCCAAGTTAACAGAGAACAGGCTCAAACCTCTCCAGCAGCAGGAAACCACGGCAAAAAAAATTTTTCCCAATGGAATACCTTTGGCACACCAGTTTGGTGTAGTGGTTAAGCGCGTGGACTCTAATCTGGGAGAACTGTGTTTGATTCCCCACTCCTCCACTTGCTGGACCTTGGGCAAGCCGTAGCTCTGATAAGAGCTGTTCTTGAAAAAGAGCCGTTTCTGTCAAGAGCTCTCTCAGCCCCGCCTACCTCACATGGTGTCTGTTGTGGGGAGGGGAGGGGAAAGGAGTTTGTAAGCTGCTCTGAGACACCTTTGGGTAGTGAAGGGCGGGGTATAAATCACAATCTCTTCTCTCTCTTCTTTATGCCTTAGGATTCCTTAAATACTGAAGAGCCTTCACTTTGGCCTACGTCAGTGTCTTAGCCTGTAGCTCTTCTGGTAGGGAGACACATACCCTCTATTCTCAGTGGATTTGTTCTTGGCAATAAAATGTGGTTCAAACCGTTAAACATCTGCCATTGCATTTTCCTTTTATAAAAACAGGTAGATCCAACACAGCTTACATGTCCCTTCTCCTTTCAGATGACTCCAAGGAAACCACCTTCAAAGTGGCCAGATTTTGTGGACATATTTACTTTTATGCATTGCTGACCTGATTATGTTGTTGCTGGCTGATCTATGATCATAATAAAATTAAGTAAGACTGACAAAGGGAAGAGATAAGCCCTCAGAGTTATACAGGCCGAGAAGACAGGCATGCAGAGAGGATTTCAGGGCAAATGGAAACGGTGGAATCAAAGCACTCAGTATAAGGAACTTTGCCCTCCCCCCAACCAGAAGGGTGGGACGCATTCTTAAGCAACAGTACATGTAAGAATGGCAGCTATAAGACGGAAATAAGCCAGATACTTGGAGCTTCTCCAGCCTGGCAACTTTATCATGTCGAGGGTTTGGGGATGCTTTATGGGCTTTAATGGTAGTCAGTCTCCAAGCCATTCTCACAAACAAAACAAGGACTCAGACAAACCTTTTTCAATGCTGAGGGAGTCGATGGCCCTGTAGCCAGCGTTGGTTATGCCATACTTGGCACCAGCCTTCATGACGGACCGGTAGACCCTCACGCAGTGCTCCCTGGGCACGTGAAGCTCCCAGCCCATCTCTCCGACAAACGACAGCCTCATGGCTCGGACCTGAGGGATGAAAGAGGCCAGAGCCACTGAGAAGAGAAAAGAGTTCTAGAACCATCCACTTGGGAGAAGTCTCATAGGCTCTCTAGTTGATCCAACCTCCTGCCCACTAATGCAGGAGTTCCTGAACTGCAGCATCCTCAGTGGACTGCTGTCCAGCGTCTTCCTGAAGACCTCCAGTGTGCAAGAGGCCACCGCCCAGGGCAACGGATTCCTTGGTCAAATCATTCCTGCTGTTAGGATGCTTCTGCGAAGGTTCAGCGACAATTTACCCTCCCGTACTTTAAGCCCAGGAGCTGCAGTGGCTCAAGTGGTTAAGATGCTGAACTGTGGAAGGTCAGTAGTTCAGCAGTTCGAGACCCAGGGTGCCGCATGACGGAGTGAGCTCCCGTCTCTAGTTCCAGCTCCTGCCAACCTAGCAGTTCGAAAGCAAGAAATTGCAAGTAGATAAATAGGTACCGCTTCGGTGGGAAGGTAACAGCGTTCCATGCGCCTTGGTGTTTAGTCATGCCGGCCACATGACCACGGAAACGTCTTCGGACAGCGCTGGCTCTTCGGCTTTGAAACGGAGATGAGCACCGCAACCCTAGAGTCGGATTCGACTGGCTTTCGAGCAAGGGAACCTTTACCTTTACCTTTTACTTTAAGCCCACTAGGTCTAGCCTTGCTCGCTGGAGAGCAGAGAACAAGTCTTTGCCCTGGTCCGTGGAACTGGACCCGGGACTCCAGACATGGCATGACTTACACAGAAGAGAGAGAAGAACAGCCTTGCTTGACCCCTCCCCTTCTACCTTTACTTCCGCCTTCAGTCCTCGTCACTGACCAAGTCCAACCGTGTCAAATGCTCCAGCTGCTTTGCTGCCCCTTCTGCCCGCAACTGTGCTTGCAAATGCCCACCTCGTGTTAACTTTTTCCTTCTCTTCCTGCAACCCCTCCTCAAAGTCCCCCTGGCATGGGAATTAAACCACACCTGGTTCCTCGTGGCCCATTCTCCCTTCCATTGTCTAGTCTGTTTTCGAAATTGGAATGGTGAGCTCTCAAAAACAGGGAATTGGACTTTTGCCTTTTTGTTTCACTGTGCAGGGCTTGGCCTGGCACTCTACTCCCTCTCCCTTCTCAATTCTGGCGATGGCAACATGAAAAGACAAGGGAGCTGATCTACCCTCAGTCGGATTCCTATCCATTCTCCGTCTCCCCTTCCCCTCTGCTGCATGGGCTGCCTGCCTTCCAGTGTTCTTCCGGTGTGGCTGAGCTAATGCGATCGGACAGACCACACACTCATCTCCACCTCATCGTTAGCTCTTACGGTTACTTGATGTCCCCCATGGGATATACTTTAAAATAGCAGCTCTGTTTCACAGCCCCAAGTCCCGAACCTCTGGAATGCAAAGGCACACCGACAATTACACCGGCACAACGGGGGCACCTCAGCAGTACATGCGGCATGACAGCCCGCCTTCCACGTGAAGGCTCAGAGGAATGGAGCTCGCCGCTCTGCTCCTTCCAAACCTCCTCCAGAGATGCTCATTGAACATGACACGGCATGTTAATCCAGATTAGGCAGATGAAATATTCATGCCTCATAACTGAGAAGAGCTATTCAAATCTAGGTATTAAGAGGCGGCAACAAAGCAAGAAGTGGAAGGCAGAATCAGCTCCTGGCTTCGCTTGGCCACATGCTGCTTGCCTCAGTACCCTGGGGATTTGGAGAAAAGACAAACACCTCTGCGTTTCGTCATCCCCCCCCCAATGAGATCTCTTCAGGAGCCCTCAGAGTAGCCCCTCAAGCCCACTCCAACTTCTGTGCATACTCAAAAGATCAGAAAGATAAACTGATAATACTCTACATCCTCACAACCGCGAGAATAGCTATAGCAAGATGTTGGGAATCTGAAAAATTGCCAGATAGAGAAGAATTAATTACAAAAATTATGGACATAAAAGCAATGGACAAAATTAATATGTTACTTGCGGGAAGATTTGACAGTGTGTTTAAGAAAAGATGGCAGAAACTAGACAGGTGGTTAGAAATATATAGATAGGATGCTCCAAATAGTATTGTAAAATCAATATAAATGTCTTGTATTATTAATTATGTTAAAAATCTAAATAAAATACTTTAAAAAAAGAAAGAAAGATAAACTGAGGTACATAATACCCTGTTTTCCCGAAAATAAGACCTACCCCCAAAATAAGCCCTAGCAGGATTTCTATGCATTTGTGGTATAGGCCCTAGTGTGTCTTCTTGAGAAAAAATAAATATAAGACGGTGTCTTATTTTCGGGGAAACAGGGTGCTCTTCCAGGCACACAAAATGCAGCCTCCCCCACACGATACATTAACAAACAGCCCTGTGAAATTCTGTCTCTCCTCTGCATGACTGTGTCTCCGCTGAACTGGGGCCCAGATCCACAGTGTGTATTCTCCAACCGAATCAGTTACCGGAGCCCTACAGGGTGCCTGCAGCACAACCGGTTGGCCAGGTGGTACATTTATACCCTGTCCGGCCTATCCAGAGGCTTCATACTGCCTGCCAATCACAAGGGTCAATAGTGCACACGGCTACTGAATGCAGCCCCAGAATCCCCAACACAGATACACTTAATAACAAGGTGATCCTGGCAGAGGCTTCATACTGCCTGCCAATCACAAGGGTCAATAATGCACACGGCTACTAAATGCAGCCCCAGAATCCTGTTTTTTTAATAATAACATCTGAACTCGAAGCATTTATAAAACCTCCTTACCAGGAAGAGACAAAGACTGGGGCAGCAAGAAAGAGAGCGGTATTTCTAGAGTTGCTGCTGAATTTGATATAATACAGTGAGTAGAGAGCAGAAGCATGTGGGCCTGGGCTCCAAACTGACCCAGACGCCAATGGACCCCCGAACAGACAGAAGGGCTCAAGGCTCCTCTACCACGTGTCTTTGAAGTGGTACCAAGCAAGTACCAAGCAAACCTTGGTAGTTTTGTCGCTGTTCCCGCAGCACTGCCAAATTGGCATGCCTGTTCACATCTTTGTAAGATTCCAATGGCAGCTGGCTAAATGTAGTGCTAATTTAAACAGTGGCTGCACTGGGAGAGCCTTCAGCTGGTGGATTTACCAGGTATCTTCTCACACAACCACAGGGGACTGCAAGAGCGGCTCTTTCACAGAAACACAGCTACAGCAAGCCAGAGGCAAAGAATTTTCACCCTCTTCCCCCAAGTGCCATCAACAGCTATTACCTTGATACAGCTTAGTAACGCTTACATCTGCTGCTGCTGCTGGTGCTACCCTGGTTCTCAGATGGAGAACAGTTCTCTATTTGTTTTTGGGCTTCAGCTTTTAATTGGCTTATTGGCTGAGCACATGCCTGGCATGCAGGAGGTCTTGAGCTGATGGGGAAGGGGCACGGGACAAGGACGATCCTATGGGCAGCAAGCAAGCCGTCAGGGAGCTCCATTTAGGCTGAATTTCTCCTCTCCTCTTCCGGCAGGTATTTAGCCTTTGTGGGCTCAGAGGTAGAGGGCTTTTGGCTTGTGGGTTGTAGCCCGGAATCCAGACTAGCCCAGATTGGTTTTTCTTTGGGCATGTGTTTTAAACTGCCTTGGTTCCCTCTAGGGGGAAACGCAGTCTCACAATGCTTAAATAAATAAATAATACACTCAATCAGTAGCAGACTGCATTAAACAGGTCTTTGGCGAGTGGGCTGGGAATGATCCACTGCCAGTCACAGTCCTGGACTTGATGGACCAGCAATCATGTTCCGAATAAGGGCTACACTAGATGGGGAGGGGCTGTGGCTTAGTGGCAGAGCATCTGCTTGACATGCAGAAGGTCCCAGGTTCAATCCTTGGTATCTCCAGTTAAAAGATCTGGCAGTAGGTGACGGGAAAGACAGGAGCTGATTTTGCTGACAACAGGTGGGATGGATGGAGGAGGGGGCTCCTGCTCCCCCCCCAGCCTCTTTCCTGAGCCTAAAGAGAGACCCAGGAGGAAGTTTTGCATGACTTTGGAGAGGTCCCGTGCAGTTACAAAGTTATGCAAATAATTTCCCGGGGGGGGGGCTCTTTAGGCTCAAGATACAAGCTGGAGGAAGGGAGCCTGTCCCTGGCTTGGGCTTTCAAAGCCATTTATTGGAGTTGATTAAGCAGATAGATCCCGGTGGGTCGCTGAAGTGTAGTGGGTTAGACGCATGTAGAAACCACTAATACGGATGTAGTGATCAGCACGGTTTACTGGTACACAACAAAGACAAAGACTACTGGCCGGCTGGCCAACTATATACACACCTGGGGACACTCCCCTAGGTCCCGTTGGTGGGTTTAAATCTCCCGCCACAGTCCTAGTGGTTCCCCAGTGGAGAGACTAGGAGCCTAGTCCCCATTGTTCCTTCAGAGTCAAGCTCGGGGGTATTCCCTGGCCCCTGGTGGCAGTCAGCTGACTTAACATCCCTCCCCCCATAGTTCAGACCCACCCTAGGTTACATAGTCCTTTAAGTACGACGGGGACCGCTGTTCTCTAGTGGACCATCGGGGGGTGGTACTGGACCCTCCGGGGGCCCGTCTGATGTGCTGGGATGCTCTGGAGGAGTTCTGTGGCTCGGGAGCGGTCCAGGAGGATTGTTGGTCTCCGACCCATGAGGAGTTCTGCTGGGCAGTGACCGCTTACAGGGTTTGGTGTTGTTCTTTGCGCTAAGAGGAAATGGGCTATGTGAAATTCCCAGTCTACCTCTGTCAGGCGGTTTAATGCCTCCTTCGCCGTTCGGACCATGCGTTCCACTTGGCAGTTTGTAGCGGGGTGGAACGGCGCTGACCTAATGTGTTTCATCATGTTGTCGCAGAGAAACTGCTGGAATTCCTCCGACGTAAACGCCGTCCCGTTGTCCGAGACGATGGTGTCTGGCAACCCGTGGGTGGTGAAGATCTTTCGGAGGGTACGGATGGTGGCCTTTGTGGACGTCGCGGAGACGGGGCTTATCTCCAGCCATTTTGAATAGGAATCCACAGTCACTAGGAAT